GGCGGCGACCGGCGCGCTCAGCGCTCGTCGCCTCCGCGGGGCCGAAGCGGCGGGGCCCGCACCTCCTCCCCCCCAGCGCCGCGGAGGGGGGAGGAGGAAGATGGAGACCCACATCTCGTGCCTGTTTCCCGAGCTGCTGGCCATGATCTTCGGCTACCTGGACGTGCGGGACAAGGGGCGCGCGGCGCAGGTGTGCACGGCCTGGCGGGACGCCGCCTACCACAAGTCGGTGTGGCGGGGGGTGGAGGCCAAGCTGCACCTGCGCCGGGCCAACCCGTCGCTGTTCCCCAGCCTGCAGGCCCGGGGCATCCGCCGCGTGCAGATCCTGAGCCTCCGCCGCAGCCTTAGCTACGTGATCCAGGGCATGGCCAACATCGAGAGCCTCAACCTCAGCGGCTGCTACAACCTCACCGACAACGGGCTAGGCCACGCGTTTGTGCAGGAGATTGGCTCCTTGCGCGCGCTCAACCTGAGCCTCTGCAAGCAGATCACCGACAGTAGCCTGGGCCGTATTGCTCAGTACCTCAAGGGCCTGGAGGTGCTGGAGCTGGGGGGCTGCAGCAACATCACCAACACCGGCCTCTTGCTCATCGCCTGGGGGCTGCAGCGCCTCAAGAGCCTTAACCTCCGCAGCTGCCGCCACCTTTCAGACGTGGGCATCGGGCACCTGGCCGGCATGACGCGCAGCGCGGCCGAGGGCTGCCTGGGCCTGGAGCAGCTCACGCTACAGGACTGCCAGAAGCTCACGGATCTTTCCCTAAAGCACATCTCCCGGGGGCTGATGGGCCTGCGGCTCCTGAATCTCAGCTTCTGCGGGGGCATCTCGGACGCAGGCCTCCTGCACCTGTCGCACATGGGCAGCCTGCGAAGCCTTAACCTGCGCTCCTGCGACAACATCAGTGACACAGGTATCATGCATCTGGCCATGGGCAGCCTGCGCCTCTCGGGGCTAGATGTGTCTTTCTGTGACAAGGTTGGGGACCAGAGTCTGGCTTACATAGCCCAGGGGCTGGACGGCCTCAAGTCCCTCTCCCTCTGCTCCTGCCACATCAGTGATGACGGCATCAACCGCATGGTGCGGCAGATGCACGGGCTTCGCACGCTCAACATTGGACAGTGTGTGCGCATCACGGACAAGGGCCTGGAGCTGATCGCCGAGCACCTAAGCCAGCTCACTGGCATAGACCTGTACGGCTGTACCCGCATCACCAAGCGCGGCCTGGAGCGCATCACGCAGCTGCCCTGCCTCAAGGTACTCAATTTGGGACTCTGGCAGATGACGGACAGTGAGAAGGTCAGGTGAGGACAGCAGCACCTTGTCCCACCTGTTCATCCCCTCTTCACCACCACCGTCCCCCATACACTCATACATAGATCATGCAGTGGCTGAGATGGGGCAGTGACAGGAAGCCCAGGCTCCTTTTCCCCTCCTCGGGTGCCCCTCCCCACGACCAGCCCTTCCCACCGCCTCTGGGTTCCTCTGCCCCTTCTGTCCTGCCCCCCTCTCCCTTTCCCTGCTGATGGAAAGATGGACTCTGCTGCTCACCCACCCATTCCTCTCTGCAGGGGGATGAGGACTGATTGAGCCACTGACCGTGTCCCCTGCCTGCCTCGAATTTGGAGTTGGGGTGGGGGTGATTGGTCCCTTCAAACCTGAGGAGCTGAGGAAAATGTCTGCCTTCACTTAAGATTTCATTTGGATACTGTGATCTGGTTTTTATTTCAAAATGTATAAAACAACAAACCCAGCTATAACCGCCTTTTCACCCTTCTTCCACTTTGTAACTAATCCCAGTCTCTTCGCATCACTTCTTCTTTTACAGTACTCTGCTAGTCGTGCTCATGTCATTTTTATCTACCTTTTTTTTTTTT